TCTTGTGCCTTTGTCCGCCTCAAGAATGTGTGTCAGTGTGTGGCCTTTGCTTTTTGTTGGTAGAAGCTTGTTTCGACCTCCCCCAAAAATGTAGCATTTTTTCTAGCAGCCGCCACTTGCATTTTTAACTCATCATCAAGAGGCGAATCCAGCCACAATTTATTCAATCTTTTGAACTCCTCCTTTGCTTTCTTAGCCTTCATTGATACATGCCCGTATTCCATTACGTTGAGGTTCTTTAGCGGCCTTTTCAGCAACTTTAACTTCCTCACAATTGAGAACTGGGCTGTACCATCAATTAATTGACTCCAATTCTGTGCAACTATGTTAGCAAAATCGCAATGTTTAATCCACATATTAAAAAATTTAAAGGGTTTCGGCCTAAGAGAGGAATTATTGAGTATTGATATTACGGAAGCCGTATGATCAAACTCAACCTCCATTTCTTGGAAATGGGCCTTACAACTAATACCTAGCTGTCCCCAAACCTCATTAATAATCACCCGGTCAAGCTTAGCCCAAAGATTGCCCCTATTCCACGTGAAAAATTCCCCGGTAGATGGGACATCTTCAAGGCTAGCTCGAACTTTAAAATCAAATAAATGTTGCATTATATAAGCCGTGGGAGGGCTCGGCCCAACCCTTTCATTTGGAGCACATATGCAATTAAAATCCCCTGCAACTAACCAAGGTTCCCTAATTCGGTCCCCAAGGGTAGTAAGGTGATCCCATAACGCTTTGCGCTCCAAAACGGTATATAATGCATACACAAATGTAACTTGGAAGGTTGTTTGTGTGGTTCGGCATACACATATAACATGCATATATTGCTCCTCAACCATACTCACAACACAATTAATCAAACAAGGATTCCACATAATGGCCATACAGCCTCCATAATTTTTTTTCAAAATTCGTTTCAAATAGCCAACCCGGCCATTTATTTGCAACATAATTATTAAAGCTATCTTTGTTCATTTTAGTTTCCCAAAAGCAACAAAGACTCGCATTATTCACTTTAATAAAACTAGTAATCGTATTTTGTTTGGAGGGTTTTTTTCAAACCTCTCACGTTCCACACGACGACTTTAATCATTATCCGAGTTGGAGGTGTGGCCATCCTCCGATCCCGCCACATTATTTTGCTTTTCTTTTGCTTTCCTCCTCATCATCTCCTTGAAGTATTTCTTGTTTTCCTTGTTGTTTTCATCAAAGAAAGAAACAACGTTAGGAATAAAAATTAAGGGATCAAAATCATACCATGAAGCTGCCCGCTTGACTCCAGGAGGCGTGAGTAAGCATTGGTGTGTGAAGCTCATTCCGGGCTCTCTTTTCCATGCACTCGTTTGAAGTTCGGCCCAACTCGCTCCTCAAAATGGCTAAGTGGAAGATCAGCCCTCTTCATGACACAAACGGATCTCTTGCCCTTTTCATCAAACTCCATCTTCGTCACCACGCCCTCATCATCCATTTCATATACACTCCTCACCTTGTTACCCCCAATATCCTTATCCGGCACTTGAATACCATCCACAAATTCCTTTGTTTTATGGTTCATTTTGAGAATAAAAGGATATGTAGGTTCCTTTGGTTTGGGTGCTATGGAAACATTCTTGCCCGGTGCACTTTCCTTCGGTTTTGGAGCATTAGAAACATGCTTGGCAGTTTGTTCCTTCGGTTAAGTAGCCTGGGAGGGAGCTTTGGCAGATTGTTGCCTCGGCTGAGTAGCATGATAAGAGGTGCTGGCCTCGTCTTTGCCCTTCGGCTTTGTAGTCTTGGCCGGTTCCTTTGTAGATGGAGCTGCCCTAGCCGTCCTCTTCCTTGGCATCACAAGTTTGAATGGCGCCTCTTCCGGTTCCTTGATGACTTTAGTTTCCTTGGTGAATCAAAGTCACGTATTTTTGGTCAGCCATATGATTTGATTTATTAAAACCAAATGAAGAACTACTAATCAAATCCACATGAATTCAGAAATCAGGATTTGTTATCTCTAGTTTAGGTTTATTTGTCTTGGATTTCCTTCTGAAGTATACTGCATTGTTTAACTGCGTAGTTATTTTCAAAAATTCATTTGGCTGCCTTCCCGATTGAATTTTTATCTGAAATTTGGTATGGGTAAATCAGACTTAATGAAGAAGATGCTAAAAAAAATTCATCAAAAATTCCAACGAGAACCTCCCCAAATGACGAAGAACAGACAGAACCTCCTATATAAGGAGTAATTTGCACTTTTTTGCTTAGTTCGAGAGCTTATTTGCCCCTTTTTCCCTATATTATATAGTTGACCCGTAAAATGCGTGAGATATTGCTAATTAATTCGTATGGTTCACACGGATATGAAGGAAAATATTAGCAATTATGCAAGAGGGTGGGCTAGCAAATTCGTCCTTTAGTCTTGTACAGTCCCTTTTCTTTTCCTCGCCCCCTATAATAATTCTGACCTCATTTCTTTAGTTTGAAAGACTAGCTTGTATTGAGACGCCCCTGGTCTACCCCTAGTTTGGCTCAAGCAATTCTTATAATTTTGATTTCATTATGTTGGCCTCTTATAAATTTATAACTAATAAGTTGACCCAAATATATATGGGGGGTTCTTCCCATTTCCCAATAATACAGGTCCGGCATACAAAGTTATGAATTAATCAAATCTTCAAGTGTCTTACACATGATTAATAATAGAAATTTCGAATGGAAGCATGGATCATAAATCCTTAATTGTCTGATTAATTAAAGCATTGGTAATAAACCCACGTATATCCGATTACGGTGCCACACTTAGAGCATCTCTAATGCTACAATATGCATGGTGCACATGTGGCATGAGAGATATATAGACAAAATATTGATTTTATGACATTTCTTTCTCTTTCTTTCCACGGTCTTATGTGTTTTTAGTAAGTTTTTGTCTGCAATGTCAACCACAATGTCTACATTTAGACATTGTGCTTGACATTGTGAAGAAAAACTTAACAAAATGATGTAAGATCCTTTAAATAAGGAGAGAGATATTCTATTTATTGTTTTTTAATTGGTTATTTCTCATGCCACGTATGCACAATTAACGTTTTAGCATTGAAGATGCTCTTAGCCTCAGGAGCATGTCTAAGCTGTTATATTGTTGGTAAATCAAAGTCTCCATTAAAACTGATCTGTTTGAGTCACAGTTGGTATTCAAAAAAGGTTTAGAGGGGCTTGGTATCCGCAGAAGCATGACTAACACTTGCAGGCTTGAAAGTTCGGTAAAGTGGATCAAGTCTTGCAAAGTATCTTTGATCAAGTAACAAATTTATTAGGATTGCCTTCTGCTACATTGTGGATTGGACCGAGTGGACTACGAATTCTACCCGATATCATGCCACGGCGCTGAAGTGAAGAACATGGTCTATAAAGTATTGTATATCCATTATCCCTCTTGATATTTTTTGGGGTTAACTTTGGTCCCATACGCCCTCCTTTTTTGTAAATTTGGTGCATGGTTCTTTGGGCTACTGTTAATATATATTTACATTTCATCTACAAAGCAAGAAAAGGTTAACTATCTATTGTCAAATAGAGTGGTACAGGAACGATTTTTCCAATCTAGAAAGCTTGAGGACACCAAAGTTGGGTCCTCACTCTTGAGTCTTGCCCGGAGGACAAGCATGACCAAGACCCAGGGGTGGACTCGGGCCGGCCCGGCCCGGCCCGAGTGGCCCGGTCCAACGGCGGTTCGGGTCGAACCGGCCCGGTGGATACCGGTTCCAGGCCCGGCCCCTCCATTTGGTGAACCGGCCCGGCCGGTTCGGGCCCGGTTCGGGCCGGAATTATTATTATTTTTTTTGATTTTTTTTTAAGTTTTGGGTTGGATTAGGTATTTTGGGCCATTTGAGGTGGTTTGGGGTGGTTTGGGGTTGAGGGGGAGGGATAGGGGGTTAAATAAAAAAAATTATGACCAGGATGGCCCGGCCCGGAACTCGGAGCCACCGGTTCGGGTCCGGACCCTCCTTTTGGTGAACCGAGGCCCAGCCGGTTCAAGGCCCGAACCGGGCCCGGCCCAAACCGAGTCCACCCATACCAAGACCCGATGAGAAAGCCAATGTTGCTTCCAAGTTCCAACTGATGTGGTGGTGCTGACAATTTCTTGCTTGTGCTTGCAGTAATATAACAAGATTTCACTCATTTTCTCTTTCATTCTTTTTGTTAGGAAGAGGTAATTTCGATTTCATCAAAATAATCCCGGAGTCACATAGTATGTCACAAGTCGCTCGAGCAGTCGAGCTAAGGTACCCAATTTCATTTGTACATATCAACTCATAAGGAGCCACCCTCAAATGATTAAGCTTGTCTTTATGCCTGGACTCGGGCTGGTTCGGGCCCGGTTCGGGCCTGGGCCCTGCCGGGCCTCGGGCCAGGAAAGGGAGGCCCGAGCCCGAACCGCCGGTGGCCGGTTCCCGTCCCGGTTCCGGGCCAAACCGGGCCGGGCCGGGCCGGGCCGAACCGGCCCAATAATTTTTTTTTTTGTTCTCCTATTTAATCCCCTACCCCTCCCCCTCAACCCCAAACCATCCCAAACCACCTCAAATGGCCCAAAATACCTAATCCAACCTAAAACTTAAAAAAATTTCAAAAAAAAAAAATTAAAATCCGGCCCGGACCAGGCCCGAACCGGCCGGGCCGGTTCACCAAAACCTGGGCCCGGGCCCGAACCGCCCAGCAGCCGGGCCGGGCCGAACCGAACCGAGGGACCCACCGGGCCCCGGGCCGGGCCGGGCCAAACAGTAACCAGGCCGGGCCGCCCGGCCCGAGTCCAGCACTACTTGTCTTGCTTCATGATGCAACTCCTAAAAATTATATATTAAGATTTATACTACTCCCTCCGTCCCCTTTTAAATGTCCCGTTTTACCATATTGGGATGTCCCTATTTAATTGCCCCATACCTTATTTGGTAAACTTTGTGTGGCTCAAAATCATTCTTAGTTTATTCTTACTTTATCAATTAATATCAACCACACAAACTCTCTTTTCTTAAAACTCGTGCCACCATCTCCCGTCCCATTTAAAAGGGGACGGAGGGAGTATTTCTTATTAAAGATATTAGTGAAAAGTACCATTACAGAACAAAAGAAAGGATTGCATTCCTCCTCTCAATGTATGAGGGCACTAATGTTCTTACCCTCTTTTGGGAGGAGAAGAAAAACCACAACAGCACTTTACTGAATGTGTTATTAATTACTGGAAACATTCTGTCAAGACAGTTAAACTGCTGAAATATGCATACAATATATGTATATACGGAGTATAAAACATAATAAAAAGTGAACATATCAGATCTTATGTCACAAAATCTTCTAAGCTTCATCAGAAGTGGAAACAGGGGTATCAGGATTTGCTCCCCATTCTGTCCAAGAACCATCATACACCACAACATCGTCCTTCCCAAGCCGATGGAGTCCCTGTAAAAAATGGATCATAGGCCACGCGTCAATAATAACCCCATGCAATGACAATATATATTATGAGAGAGAGAGAGTTAGACCAAGGCGAGAATGCAAGCAGTTACACCAGTGCCGCATGAAGTTACTATAGGACTGTCCAAGGAAATCCCTGTCATTATACATGAAGCTTTAAAAATGAAATAGAAGCAAAAGGACAAACAGGAGTCCAAAAAGAACGATTGTTAACTGAATAACATAGTTATTATAGTTTTAGCAGTTTTAGCAATTAGCAGTATTATTATGTCCTCTGTCAAAGTAGTAATGTAGTAATCATAGTTTTAGTAATATTATAGAAATGGCTCACTAAACTTTTAGTTCCATTACTTCTACAGACATTGTAATAGCTTCTAGAAATTATGAAGGTGTAAGTTCAATAAAAGTAATGGCTTATTACTCAACACAAACTTCACTGAAGTAGGAAGCAAAAAAGAAAATTTCATTAGATTCATCATCATCATTACCCCAGTGTCGCAAAGGCTCCCACCTACGGTGGGTAAGGGGGGTCGAATGTACACAGTCTTACCCCTGTACTAAAGCACAGAGAGACTGTTTCCGGATGACCCATAGTGAAAATCGCGTCCAGAATGCATGGACTGACTACAGCTTCATAACAAAGAAGCGCAGACAGTTTAGTGAGCCATTTTGCTTTATTCCATCATATTTTCAAGCCAAAAAATAATGAGTCTTTGGCTCCATTGCAAATGATGGAAAAAAGCAAGGCCAGTAAAGGCCCGCCACATAATTTTAAGACAAGAAATATAAACATGCAGACTTTAAACAAAAAACCACCCACAAAATAGCTCAAGATTGATAATCAATTCAACATTGCACCCATTCTTACCTTCTTGGTCATATTTTTTCTTGAGCTCCTCTGCAGGTAAGAGCGTTTGTGAGTCATCCAACATCTACAAAAAGCAAACAAAAAAAGTACATGTGCTTGAGTGATCTGAAAGTACAATGGTTAACACAGAAAAATGAATCTCCAATTTTTGAAGTCAGATGATGGGATCTGATAGATTCATGTTTACATTGTCATAAAGTTAAAGTTCAACATTAAATTATGGGATTTTGTTTGTTTCTGTTTATTTTGGGTTTTGTGTTTAGTTGAGAATGAGTATTAACATAATAAAGGCACAAAAGCTTCAAAAAGATCATCACCCACCCAAGTAAAAAAATTCTTTTTACCTGTGCAAAGGGAATGCATTTGCTACCAGGAACATGTCCACTACGTATTCCTTTCCGAGGCTCTGGTGCAACCCCATCAAATCTGCAAAGGATTTGCCTCTTAATAATTTTTCAATCATTCGTTCAATAACTGATTTCTAATCACATAAAACAGCTCTGAAATCTGAATGCAAATTTTATTTTGTTTACATGTATATGTATAACAGCCTTTTTTAAAGAGTCAAAAAGGGATGTGTAGTCTGCCACAAGCATGCTGCCCAACTTTAAAGTAAAAACCGGCCGCCATTAAAAATGAAAACACAACATTATTCAAGCAGGTGAAGGTGAAAATACATGTTGCTAGCATTTCTATCTAATCAATCACTAACAAGGATTATAATTTCAATAATGTTTTTAAAAGAACCATTGACAAATACAAGAGGCAGTAAACTAAAGGTTTATGTTATGAGCTGAAAATACCTAGCTTTCGAACGTGCATCTATATGCTGGTGTGTCTTTTCATCAATGTTGTTCCTGACCTGAAAGTGCAGATGAAGTAGGTCTTGAACTTTGAGAAAAGTAAATAGCATTGCAGTTGGAAAAACATCAAGGGGCATGTGATAAAATTATATGCATATGGGAAAATAGCTATAAATAATCCCAACTATCACCCACCAACCATAATGACACAAACTATTGAAACTTTAATAAATAATACTCCCTCCGTCCCATAAAATAGTTCCCGCATTGACTTGGATCGGAGTTTAAGAAAGTGAGAATACAGTGGAAATGTATGGTTGTAGTTGTGTAAGAAAAAGGTAAATGAATGTGAGCCACATAAAACTTTCCAAAAGGGGAAATGAGAACTATTTTTTGGGACGTTCAAAAAGTAAACTGAGAACTATTTTGTGGGACGGAGGGAGTACTATCTCCGCCCCCCTAAGATTGTGATAAGAGGGGTTGGTGTAGTTATTAAGAAACATAGAGTTATGTGGTTGGTATTGAATTGGAAAAGTGTGAATAAAACAAGATTGAATTAGAACTACAAAATGGGACAAAGATAGTGTGTTGGAGGGAGTATTAACTACTCGATAATATAAAGAAAATGATATAGAATCGCTTTTCAATTACAAATCTGGTCATTTGACCCATCAGAAACTGATACCAAACCACCAAAAGAATGACCATTCATTCATCATTCATTTTCATTTACCCCAGTGCCGCAAAGGCTTCCACCTACGGTGAGGTAAGGGGGGTCGGATGTACGCAGTCTTACCCCTGTACTAAAGCACAGAGAGACTGTTTCCGGATGACCCATAGTGAAAATCGCGTCCGAAATTGCATGGACTGACTGCTGCTTCATAACAAAGAATGACAGATAGTTTAGTGAGCTATTTTGATTTATTCCATCATATTCTCAAGCCAAAAAATAATGAATCTTTGGCTCCATTGCAAATGCTGGAAAACACCAAAAGAATAACCGCATAAAAAAAATATTTGATGGCTCCCTCTTCTCTTCTTTACAAGTTCAGATAGTTTGTCTTCTTTCTAGTCAAAGGGTTGCTCCCTCTTGTCTTCTTTACATGTTTAGATAGTTTGTTTTATTTATAATAGTTTGAAAAGTTTGCATTATTATGGTCCGACAAGTGATAGTTGGTATTATTTTATGTTATAATCCCGGTATAGATTACAAGCCTTCTTTTCACCTACAAGTTTTCATAGATAAGGCTTTCTTAAAGCTTCCCCACCAAATGGATCATAAAGATAAGCAACCTATGGCTAGAAGTATATTATACATGCTTATCTTGAGCCCATATGCCTGATATTGTGGAATTGTCCCCATAATGCTAGTACATACATACAAAACAGACCTGTTCAAGTGTCCAGACAAGATGTGGCTGAAACTTGGCATGAAATGTGATCGGTCCAGCCTGCAAATAAAGAATTTTATTGTCATATAGTCAGGGTTGATCCTAACCAGAATTAGGGGATAGTTGAACACTACTTGAACTTTATAAATGCCCCCCTTTGTAGTAATTATTTTTTGATGTAACAAAACAAAAATTACAAACAAAAGTAACTAATTAAGGAATAAGCTTTTGCAAGGAAATAAATGTTATGCATCTATATTAAATATCTATACTGTGCAAATATAATAGCTTATCTTTTTTATCTTTATTTTCTTTCTTTTCCTTTTGGTGGTGATATCATGTATCGATTCATGTTAGCCCACCCCAATATCTTTTGGGACTAAGGGCCTGTTGGGATGGAGTGTTGGGAGGTGTTAGTAATGGAAGTGTTAGTAAGTGTTATCAGGAGCCCGGAAGGGAAGGGAAGTGTAAGTGTTCAACATAATCTTACCTTGTTTGGGAGAGTTAAAAAAGTGAAGTGTTAATAATGGAAGTGTTTTAGCTTTAATTGACAAAAATATCCTCATAACCCTTTTAAAAAGATTAATATTAAAGTGCTAAAAACTATTCTACATATATATCAATATTATGACTAAAAAATATACAGTGAACTAAAAATTAGGTTTTTTTTTCTCCCAAGTATTAGTTCTGCAAATAATACGAAGGAAAACTCTTCACTTCTTCATTTGATAGGCCAGCACTCCAGCAGGCAGCAGGCCTACGAATAGCAAACATAAAAAATACGCAGTAGGTATATATAAAGAATGGGATGAGCAGCAACAAGGTGGGTACAAACAGAGCCACAGAGGATGTATATGTATATTTATGCACACGTATATATACCTAGCTATGTACGAACAGTGGGTACGTATAGATTTTGCTATGCCAATAAGTGAAGAAACTGGGGGGAAGTAGAGACATACCAGGAGAACAGTCGTCCGCTAGGGCGCCAGAGCCCGGGAAACGGATAACAGTTCGGTGGGAGGAAGGACAAAAATTGTCCTAACACTTCATTACACCCCAAATTGGAGTGTTAAAAAGTGATAAATATAGGTGTTAGGAAGGTTATGATTAACACCCTCAAACACTTACTAACACTTCTGATTTTTCATTTTTTCTCCCAAACAAGTGTTAACCTAAACACTCCTTAACACTTCCATTACTAACACCCGCTAACACCCAATCCAAACAGGCCGTAAGGCTTGGATGTTGGTTGGACTGTGCAAATATACTGCTAAACCTTGGTCCCTAGTTATCCACATATACTCTTAAAGATTTGGGCCGTACTTGTAGAAATAGATATTATACATCTCTATTATGTATCTATGTTATACACATAGTCACATATACTCTTAAATTTTAGGCCCTGCTTGTGTTTAGATTTTGTGGGCCTGACTCGCCTGAGGCCCCACCACCCAAATCTCATTTGCCTCACAGTTGAATGGCCCTTCATGTTTTGGCATTATGAATTACGTATGTTTTAGTGATAGCTGCGATATTGGAAACAAAATGCGCGCTAAATAGCCCATACTAAATTTTAAATTAAAAACACAGGTTTCTGCATGTCAACGATCACTTACTGCATGTCCCTTATATACTTTCTCTATAGCATCACTGGCAAAACTAGCTTTCAAAATTGCATCACCAGATGCACTTGATTCCACATCATATTCAGAAGCACGCCATCTTGGCAAGCCTCCGTCTAGAACCCAAACTCGGTCATGCCCAAAAACTCGAAACATCCTGTTTAAATGTTCCAAATTATTTGAATCCATACACAAAATTTGCATGACGGTCCATGAATTTACACATGATGAATGAAAAATGAACCAAACTCACCACCAAACACGTGCTGCACTGAAAATCCCTTTACCATCATATACAACAACCCCATCTTTGTTCTCAATACCAAGAGCAGAGACCGCAGCAGCAAATGCTTCTTCTGATGGTAGCATATGTGGGAGCTGATAAATCATTGATAATGAGAGCTTTATGAAACACAATCTAGCAAATCATAGTATAAAAAAATGGTTCTGGAGACACATGTATACTTCAAATTTTGAAAATTACGGTATTGAAATATCTTCCGTCCTTTCCTCATCGCCAGCCTCGATTTGGAACTCAGGAAATTCTATGGAAAGAAAAGTAGAAGGCAAATATAGGGCCAATTTGGAAGGAAATAAAAAAGTGTGGAAAAATAAACTGATTTTCAGACTTAGTTTATTTCTCCTTTTCTATTTTATAAAGACTAAGGAAACTAAACATAAGTAAATTTCTTCAAAACCTTTATCTAATTTCATTTTCCTGGTAAAGCACTTAAACATTACAAGGAACAAGTATGAAGAATTCTTACATTTGTAGTCCGGTCAACTATGCCATCCAAGTCGAAGAATAGCGCACCTGGAATGTGGGCAACCTAATTACAATAAAAATAACATATAGCGTGAAACACAGATGCAGCTTTCACTTATAAAGAAAGACATGATATTACAGTGCAGGTTGATTAAATACTAGTCACAAGATGAAATCGAGTATTGAAGCACAGCTCATCCAAAGTGCAATCTATACCTATGCCATTAATAGCTTGCATGGATGCTTAGCATATTAACATTCACCAACATAACTTCAATAAGTAATCAGTACCTGGTACTCTTGAAGTGGATTTCTCTGCTCATCTGGCATATACCAGGATGCATCCAGCACCTGAATTAACAACCAATATCGAATATTACAGTGGTCAATACAGTGAAATATGCAATCATAAATTTTTAATGTTATAAAATCAAATTCTTTCAGCGAACCTGGCTGAAAGACAAAGAGAAAGTTCCATAAGTAGAAGTGTAGAACTAAAACATACTTCAAACCAAAATATATTCAAGTTTAATTATATTCATAATCACAATTCCATTTTATTCTCTAATTTTAATAAACTTGAAATCATTTAAGTATTTGGTTTTTTATGATTCACAGATTCAGTAGAGCTTTTAGTCTAGTTTCTAAACGTATAAGCTCTAATTACTAACATTAACTCAATAATTGTCATGAAGAATTAACGTTTTCCTCAATCAACTGTGTAAACCGCTTTTTGCACATCAAATTGGGACAGAGGGATTAGCACATTTTGACAAGTATGACAATCGTTTCCCCCTAGAAATATGACACTCAATCCTAAGAAGATACTCCCTCCGTCCCATTTTACATGTCCTACTTTCCTTTTTGGGTTGTCCCAAAATAAGTGTCTACTTTCCTCTTTTAGAAAGAAATATGTGGTCTACCCCATTTCACTTTATTATACTCAAACCTCAACCACAACTTTTACTTTTTCAACCACTTCATTAATAACCGTGCCAAGTCAAACTAAAACACATAAAATGGGACGGAGGTAGTAACTATTAAGTATTTACTACTTTTATTCTTTACTTAGAGCCAAGTGAATCTTATTTTCAAATTTTAAAACAAGAATGGTCTCGTTTGGGGGCGTGTAGATATGTTTTACTCCTGTTTTTACTAGTTCCTTAAAAACAAAAGCATATAATTACCTTCAGATCGGGATCTCTGAGGTTGGCGTGCAGCCAATCAACCGACACAACAGGTTCATTTGTTGTCAAGGATGCTGGAGAAAATGTTTGTTGAGCCCCTGACAAAGAAGAAGCCATCCGACAAGCACCAAATCTAGCAACTTGGTGTGATGAACGGTACAAAGATGCTTGCGAACACCACTGCCTCTTCTGTCAGCAACAATAAAGCAATGCACAATATGATATAGTGAATCATTAAACTAAATTCCATGTTGCCAAACAAATGAACACCAAGAGACTAAAAAGATTAAAGCTTTACACAAAATATAAAGCGCCAAGACTTGCTCCCAATACTAATCGATGAAGTACATTAAAGTGAAGAACTAAAGCTGGAATCTTTACGCAAAATATAGCTTACAATAATATTTAGTGAGGGCAGAAAGTAAGCAACATGCAAGGGGATATAAAAAGATGGAAAATAAACTTACGGCGAAGGCAAAATGGAGGAATTGGGCCTTGCGAAACAAGGGGAGTGGAGAAGCAAGCTTGAAATTAGAGGGACTGGCTAAGACAGTTCTAACGACGGCCGCGAATGCCATTGAAGAATAACAGAAGTCACACGAAATAGACCATAGATAGGAGTAGGAGAATTACAAAAAAGATATGATTACTGGGCGATTCTAACACGTTGAAAAAGGGAGAGTCTGCTTCCGATTGTAAAGTCACTATGAGAAGAAACCAGGATCCATTAATTGCTGCTGTAGAGAATATGATCCCCGAGCAGAAGCTGCGTTAAGTCCTGGCCCGTAACTGATAGGAGTAGCATTTTTGTTTAAAACTCTACAAACTCTACAGAGTACAAAACAAATATTCTAGTGTGTCTATTAATATTTAATAAAATACTCAATCTATCCAGATATCTTTATTATTTATTTGGTCAACACAAATCATTCTTAATCTCTTATTTTATACATTAAAATTTTATGAAATTTGAATTATTTTTTGCAGGTTTTGTAGCGGGTTTAATATAGTTTCTGAATATGTAATTTTTTCCTTCTAAAAATAATTTGAGTGCAGACAGAGATCTGTTTGCTTTATCGTCGATCAAACATCGTAAACCGAAAAGTATCTTATAATTCGGGACGGAGGGGGAGTACAAGTTATCTCAATATAATTAAAATAACTCTTTCACCAATTTCAATCAATTTAGTCATCAAATAATTCAAATATTACTTGTTTTGATTATTATACGAAAGTATGGCGTAAAAAATTAGATACTACTTAAATAGTTGCAATATTATAAATTTTATTATATTCACATGCTCTATTTCGATAACATTTTACTCATGAATGCATTGAAAATAATTTTTTAAAGATATAGTTAAATTATTTTGATTTTAAAATTTCAAGAAACAAGTTTTTTGAAATTTTTACAAATAAGGAATTAAATACATTAATGATTAAAGTTGTGTGTTGTCAAATGTGAAAATGGAAGCGTTACAACTTAAAAAGAATGGAGGAAATATTTGATAAAAACTTAATTGACAGACTAAAAAATTGAAAATGTGAGTTACCAATATTCTAGTTTTCAAAACGGAAGTATGTATTAGGACAAAATATTACAAAAGATCAAATAATGACCAAAAAGTCTCTCCTACTTAATTTGGGTTTAATATACTTAAACATTATTGATGTGACAATCTTCTTGTTCAAATTATGGTTTGTTTCATTATTGTTGGTCCAAAAATGGAACTTTTAGGATAGGAAAGTTAAGACAGACACTCAAGAAATAATCAAGAAACTAATATGAAAATGAAAAGTTACTAAGAAGAATTTATAGTCAGAAATAACATGTTTATAAATTGAATTAAATTTCCCTTTTGTGTTTACAAATGACAACTGTTATCAACAATAATAACTAATTAATTACAACATTAATACGGAATTAAGTATATAATTGATCAACGCATTGATCGTATGGTCGTTACTCTTCCTGTCTGGCGGGTCAACCTCACCTCACTGTCAGGCCTGCCGCTTGAGCTCCTTTCATGCTGGAAAGGAAGACGGACTTTTGATTGGACTGGGAGGACATACTTCTGGTTGGGCTGGTAGGCAGAGTGGCAGACTCCTTGTTGGGCTGGTAGGTAGAGTGGCAGACTCCTTGTTGGGCTGGAAGACAGGTTTCTCAATCGTCTGAAAGGCAGGTCTCCCATTGGATTGACGAGATGGCAGACTGATAGATCATCTTGGACTTCCGTTCCGCTACACTTCCGCTCTTTGATGGACTTGATTGGTTGGGCTGACTCGATCACTTGGGTTGTTGGGCCCACTGGGCGAACTGGTTTGGTGAGACAATGGACCCGAGCTTGGGCCTATTGATCCAAGTCGCGAGTTTGGACTCACAGATCCAAATTTGGAGGGCTTGAGCCGATTAGTCAATTCAATTTTTTATCGATCCAATTTTTAAAAATGCAATCACTAGTGAATTGAGTTAATCTGCCTTTTATTTATCTTCTTTAAAGAAAGGAATTTTGTCAATCCAGGAACTAAAAGGTAGATGAATAATCAATCCGGGACCCAAAAGATGAAATGTATCAGTAAAAAACCCGAATGATGAAAAACTATCAATTAGGACCTAACTTTTATAGGTCTTAATTTATTTAATTTTTATTAATTCTATCATTCGGGTCCTATATTGATACGTTTCATCTTTCAGGTCTCGTATTGATAATTCGTGTATCTTTCAGGTCCTAGATTGATAAAATTTAACTTTGGTTATTTTCATTTTTGAAATGTTTCAAACGACTTTATCGATTGCCATCTGTTCGGCCCCGAAATCATAAGCTTGAATTGCCTATAGTTTAATCAGTTTTGCCCAATTCCAATTTGCTCTATGTGCCTTTTGTTAATTCAATTTCAATCAGTTTGTCAACATTTTTTGGTGCGTAATTTTTTTTATATCCAGCCCTACTTCAGAAGGAAAGCACCCGCACTTCCAAAACATATGTTAATAACACAAAGCAAAAAATGGTACGGAGTAATTAAGTAATGTTATTGAGATATTGACAATTATACTTGTGTATTGTCAAAAACACAATGTTATATTTTCTCAAGTGGGCTGAACCAAAAAATTGACAAAAACGAGATCATCAGTGCCAGAAAGACGTTCACCTACGCTAAGGTAAGGCCAGCCAGCGGGATATACAGTCTTAGCCCTATAATAAAGGGCGGAGAGAGTGTTTTGGATGCTACATAATGAAAATCATGTCTAATATTGACTGCTACGTGATAAAAAAACTTTAGTAAATCATTTTGATTTGTTCCATCATATTCTCAAATTAAAAATAGTGAATCTTCAACTGTATTTCAAAAGATATTCATGGCGACCAAGACTTGTTTCTAGAACTGCTCACCCTGAAGCCTAAAGTAATTAAAGGACATTTTGCTCTAGTGGTTTTTACAAGGTTTTTGCTCACAAAAAAACTTCGCTTCTGCAACATTTGAAAGTTTTCGCTCCTTCCCCCCATTAAAATGATTGTCACATAGGAACTTTTTTGTTTTATTTTTGAATAAATGAATTACTGTTGATGTTTACCACAAAACCATAACAATAGGAGCAAATAGTTGAGGATAAGGGTATGGGACCATGCACTACTGGATGCAACAAATATATTTTTGCTCAAGAATTGAAGAGTAGAATATAAGTATAGGCAAACTCACTGAGTTCAATTATTCAGGTAGATATTACAAGGTCCAAAAATAAAGTCAAACATGGCAATCACTCATAATATATGCAAAGTAAATTGATAGTGCATTGCACATATGTGATAGGAACAGAAAAGTAAAATCAACGGGGTGAACCGTTGCCCAGATAATCAACGATAAATAAATATCGTTGCCCAAAGCCAAAAGGCTAAACCCAACTTTTATTCCAAGATGATAAGAATGAACCCTGGCGAGGGGTATAAATAGCCTTCTACAAGCAACCCTAATCAAGCCCAAATTAATTAAATCCTAATTAGGCCCATACTACCCTACTAATTATTCTACTAATAATAAAAGGCCCAAACCAAAACATAACATTAACTTTAAATAATAATAAATAATAAATAAACAGCCCGTAACCGGCCCACGGAAGTGGGCCCAATCCCGGTCCCGCCACAAGCTCTTCCCGCTTCATATCAATCCATCCCCCTTAAAATAACCTTGTCCTCAAGGTTGAAAACTCGCGGATCGGGAACTGAAATTTCCAGACATAGAATAGACTGGAAAATATTCTTCTTCTCTTTCCTGAACCCTTTCCTGGCCGGTTATTTCACAAAATTCAAGCTGCTTGAGGTCCAACTCTTCATCCTCCTCAGCTAACATTACTCGCAGCTGCTTAAAGGGACAATCATGTGTTGGAGTAAATGGTTTCTTGCACCTAAAGCATAATCCTTTTGCCCTCAAATCTGCTAACTCTTTTGGCGCAAGACGGGTGAACTGAGATCGTGTCGTAGGCTGCCCAGACAGGCCTGACTTCGTCCCCGGAGGCTGCCCACTATCTTTCGCAAAGCCGCCCTCCGGACCCTGTAAGCTGCCACCAATGGAAGTCAACGGGGGCCCTGTGTTTGCCCTCAAAACGCCGCTAGGACGTACCCCTGACGAATGATAATTCAGGCCGCCACTTTCTCCACTTTGAACGGACAGATTATGCTCCACGTCGCGAGCTAATTCCATAGCTATCTCCAGGTTGTTCGGCCGAAGTAATCGCAGTGAGCTTTGGATTGCTTCCATAAGCCCACTCATATAGTAGCCCAAGTAATGATCCTCGGACAACCCAGGAACCTGACTGGCCAACTGCACAAAAAGGTTATTATATTCTTCTATGGTCCCCAACTGTTTGGCTCCGGACAGCCGTTCAAATCGGTTGCCCTTGAATCGCGAATCAAAACGGGCCACCAGTGCATCTGTGAATTCCTCCCAAGACAGGTCCGGTTTTCGTGCCTTCAGCCAGGTCAGCCAGTACAGGGCAGCCCCTTCCATGGCTACCGTAGCTGCCGCCACTTTCCTCTCAGGTAGGGTTTGATTAATTTCAAACTGTTGTTCAGCCCTAGCTATCCACCCGATTGGGTCTTTTCCGTCAAACGCAGGCAGTAACAAAGGAACTGGGTCGCGCAACACACCTGGATCGCGCAACACCCTGTCAGCACGCGGCGTCGTCATCGCGGCACTGTCGGCTCCCTCCACTGCGGCGACCACCGGCACACTGCCGACTCCACCCACTGCGGCGACCGCCGGCACACTGCCGACTCCACCCACGGCGGCGTCCGACGAAGCAGGCGGCAGCAGCGCCTGAGTCAACGCGGCCAGCGAGGCAGCTATCTCCGCTAGCTTCGCACCGTGGTCCTCGAGCGTCTGGTTCATCCGGGTTTGCTCAGCCCCTAGTCGAGCCACCTCCTCTCTCGTTCGGCCTTGTTCATTCTCCAATTCCGTCAATCGATCATTCTGAGATCTTGTCATCTTGGCGGGACGGGATCCGGCAGGTCGGACCAATTGATAGGAACAGAAAAGTAAAATCAACGGGGTGAACCGTTGCCCAGATAATCAACGATAAATAAATATCGTTGCCCAAAGCCAAAAGGCTAAACCCAACTTTTATTCCAAGATGATAAGAATGAACCCTGGCGAGGGGTATAAATAGCCTTCTACAAGCAACCCTAATCAAGCCCAAATTAATTAAATCCTAATTAGGCCCATACTACCCTACTAATTATTCTACTAATAATAAAAGGCCCAAACCAAAACATAACATTAACTTTAAATAATAATAAATAATAAATAAACAGCCCGTAACCGGCCCACGGAAGTGGGCCCAATCCCGGTCCCGCCACAAGCTCTTCCCGCTTCATATCAATATGCGATTAAGCATCTGAGGAGAATATTGTAATTGCTTGGTCAAATGACATAAATTAAGCATAGGCAACTGCCAAAGATTGAGGTTATGCATAGTAAGCATTTAACCACAAGTGCCATGTTATCCAAAATAATTTTAAACTATATTCTTTTTACTGCAAACCCTTGAATGCTAACAAAAGCTCAACATCTAAAGGAAAAAGCCACCCCTCAGTGCAAGGACAAGATGAAGAACTGAACCACCCTCTATGTTGTAATCCTTTGCTGTCTTGTCATCTGCAAGCTGCTTGCCAGCATATATGAGCCTGCAAGATAGGATCCATGCGACCAACTCATTGTCAACATTTATGCCAAAAAATCATGCCCATAACAAATTGTTTGATAAATGCCAACTGGATTGAGTTGTTAAATAATCTGATTGCATACAAAAGAGCATAAAACAAACCTTTGTTGCACTGGAGGGATGCCCTCCTTCTCTTCAACACGCTCCTTGATCCGTTCAATGGTGTCAGTAGGTTCAATGTCAATCTCAATCTCCTTTCCAGTGAGAGTCTTCACCTTGATCATGGTCCCTCCTCTAAGTCTCAAAACCAGGTGAAGTGTTGATTCTTTCTGGATGTTGTAATCAGCCAGAGTCCTGCCATCTTCCAACTGCTTGCCAGCAAATATTAGCCTTTGCTGATCAGGAGGGATGCCTTCTTTGTCCTGGGGCAGTAAAACACACACGTAATCGATGTAAGTGATCATATGAAGGCATAACAGCCATGAAATTTCATTTTGAATCAAAATAACAAAAACCCTAACTGACACTTTGTACTTTCATTTAGAGTCAATGGTCATCAGAGTCACTACACCTGTCAAATATAGTGGCTGCGCATAGTATACAGAGGTCATATTTTCATCCATGAATTTTATTTCATTAATATACAGAGTTTTTTGTCATTATTTCAATAAAAAGGGTTCAGCCTTTCCACTACAACTTTAGTGCATAAACTAAATTGCAAGGACATTACTCACTAGGTCTTTCATATTACTTGCTAGGACACTTCTGTCCAAGATGAGTCCAATTAAAATGGAGTCTACACTGAGTTGTTAGAGAGACTACCACGACATCATAACACTATTCAAATATCCAACGAGAGGTCAGGGGAGTAGGGGGCCCTAACAGATCTGAATGTGAATTGTATGGAAGAAGGGGAGGGGGAGACCACAAAACCAAACCGGCCCCATGCTTATATATCTAGAAATAGGAACTTTAAGATACAAATACAATGGCAGTAAGTAAATATCAAACTTGAGAGATGTATGAAGAAAAAGAGGCAGAGTAGGAGTTCACACCTGAATCTTGGCCTTGACATTGTCAATGGTGTCACTACTCTCAACTTCGAGAGTGATTGTCTTTCCGGTCAAGGTTTTCACAAAGATCTGCATTTTTGGATTGCTACAACCACCAGGGAACACCAATTAGGCAATTAGACAATAAGATAAATCCGGAGTAATCAATATAAAGTAAGAAAACTACCAATTTCTATTTGCAACTACAACGTAACATATATCAATTCACTCTTCAAGATGAGTAAGAGTTGCAATATATCCAAGTTGTTAAGAGCGAAATTTTCACATAGGCATGTACTCTTTAACATGACATGCAAGCAATGTAAAAAACTTATCTTTTCATATTAATTTCTCAAACACAAAAAAAAAACATTAGACATGACGAGCAAAGCAACACTGATTTACAGTCTAATACGCAGTAAAAGTTTTAAAGAATGGAAGATGTTCCAGCGTCAGGATCAATTACAAGCTCTTGGCCGTTCTCTACGGGTCCATTAAAAGAACCTTTTCAATCTTAAAAATTAAAATACAAGCTGAGTGAAAACCCCGGCATCCACATTAAAAAAAAGGAATCTAGGTTACTTTGACACAACGCAAAGAAGAAAGAACCCAGAGCAAAGGTGGGAACAAATTTCACAGGCCAAATCAGGTTTATACGAACAAGGGGAACTGATGTTAACAAATAAACAAGTATGGAAAAGATCAAAGCTTTAATCGGGCAAATTAGGGAAAAAGAAAATCTCGGAATAAATCTCAGTGAAATAGGAAGTACCGAGAAGAAGATGGTCGGGAACGAAGCTGGTTGCTGGGCGAAGGGACTTCGCCGGGAGGTGACTAATTTGCTGCTGCTTTCCCTTTGTGATGACGATGATGTTACAAACGACAATTATTTATGTGAAGTTTGTGGTGTAGGGGTTAAGGTTGTGTATCATTGAGTGTTAGGGTTTATATAGATAGCTTAACCGACCTTAATTGCATCTTATTCAGGACGAATTAGGAGAATTATTATTAGGAGTACTGACATGTTATTCGTTGACAAAAAAAATATTCCCCGTCCCATTTATATTGTTCCGTTTTATCTTTTCGGGAAGTCCCACTTAAATTGTATCATATCATATTTGACAAAGTTTGTGTGACTTTAAATCATTCTTACTTTATTCTTACTTTATCAATTAATATCAACCACACAAACCCACTTTTCTTAATAACCGTGTCACCCTCTTCTGTCACGATATAAATGGGACGGAGGTAGTATGACATATTATTATGGTCCCATTAGAATTGTGACATAAAAAAGCATAAAGAAACGGAATAAAGAAGTGACATGAGATGATGTTGTTCGAAAATGTGTTAGTAAATTGCATTAAATGGTCATTTTTAGGTAATTTTTTGAGTGGGATCCACTCCTGATTTGGGTTGGGTCAAAGTGGTTTCGGATTGTCCTTGCTTAGGGCTACAATTCGATATATGGTACACTCAAAATGGATAACTGGTGAATGAGAAATTGATTCTTGAAATTCACTCATTGAAATGGTGAAAATTAGGAAAATGGTGGGTTTCTAGTGTGTTTTTTCCCACACCGTAAACCCCAAAGGAATTTGAACCCCTTATAAAGGGAAACCCTCCTTAAGGAGTTAAGATTCCTTAGGGTAAAGGGTCTCTCCACGCGCGCAGGGGGTGCGAATCAAATCCCGAAACCGGAGAACAAAAAGTCCGACTTGTGTGCGTGGGCTACCCGCGGACACGAATGCCGTCCGAAAATGCTATCTTCTAAAGATAAACGTTGATTTTTGTTCCTCCGCAAAGTTCCTATTTTTGCTCCAGGTTAGAGCAGGCTGCTCCGCAGGAGGCTACTGCTCCATGGATGTTGAACGGCCCAAAGCGGCGTTACAACACATTAAATGTCCAACGTTCTTGTGACTTATTGCAATTAAACGGACGGTTTTCTGGACGAGAATCAATGCCAACATGCTAAACATTGATTACCACCGTTCATGTCCATTAAACCTTCATTAACACAACTCCTAACCCTTCCCTATAAATAGCTGCAGGTGGTTTGCAACGAAGAAATACGCACAACACTTCCTTCGCATATTTCATAGCTAAAAACACATGCATCTACCTTTGAAAATCTCCCTCTGTGTTCTACCTTTGTTCTCGTTCGCTTGAACATCGTTTAAGTGCTTAAACGGTTGCTCGTTAGTCATCGTATCCTGAGAAACGATTCTTGCAACGCTCCTAGCACCCCGGGAGACAACGAATACGTTTTAAGGAAATCGTGGGTTGCACGAGCTTTGACTATTTTCTGCTTCATCTCTTTTTTTTTTGTTTTCCTTTGACATTTTATTCATTAATTTATTTTAATTAATTTTCTTTATTTTCCGAAACACACCCTATAGATGTTACACAATTATAATTGAATTTTGTAATAGTTCAATGATATAAATATAGGGAAATTTGTTGATCTAGTCCCATAACTAATAGCTATATCCGGTATTGGTCCTGTAACTTTATTAACTTGCAATTTACATCCCGTAACTAATAAGTTGGTGCAATTTTGGTCCTTCTATGCCGGAACTTATCAATTTCGTCGGAAAAAGACACATCACCTGCCACATGGTATATTATTTGGAACTCATTTGCTGACTCAATATTGGCCCTTAGCTGGAGTTAAAAAAACAGAGTACGAAAGCTCTTCGCTAAGTGCGTGCACAACCATACCAAGTCTATTATCGGATCTGCAAAAGGGGGGAAGAACATATAACTCTACCTGAAGATTTCTCCTTAACTAAGTCGAGTGAGTGAGTTATTCTTCAAATCTGCTAGTAACGGCTCTCGATCAGAGAAAAGTTTATGGAGTGTGATTGTGGTAAAAAGGTTTCTCTTCTAACTTCTTGGACTGATAACTATCCTGGAAGGAGGTTTCGTGTGTGCGCTAGAAGCAGAGTAAAAAGTTCAGCTTTTTAGTTTACATTGTTTGCTTCTTTTTTTACTAAATAAACTAGAAATTTAAGAATAGCATTTGAATAATAAATTTGTTTGAAAATTAAAATGTATTTTATAATTTAAGCTAGATTCTGCTAATAAAATTACCATCTTCTATTTGTTGGGGGCATTTGATAATGTATTTTTGTGTTCAAAGCAGTAAAAAGTAAGTTAAGCTTCATCTTGTTTTGATACAGACAGAAGGTTGCAGATTTTTTGAATGGGCGGACCCACCTATGTGCCATCGTTGAACGATGATAGTTCCGGGATTGGTTAGAAGACTCAATTCAAAAGAGGAAGAGGTTGTAAAGTTGAAGGCTAAAAATAAAAGGCTCCTCATAGTTGTTGTGGGGCTAGTGTTTTTGCTCATGGTCTTTCTCATGTTAAAGATGTGAGAAGTGGAGATGATGTAACATTTCAAATGCTTTATTCTTAAAACATGAATCCAAAAAGCTTCAAACTTCATTCAAAATGCTCTTGCTGCAACCAAGAAGAAATAATTTTTTAACTCTAGCTAAGGGCCAATATTGAGTCAGCAAATGAGTTCCAAATAATATACCATGTGGCAGGTGATGTGTCTTTTCCGGCGAAATTGGTAAGTTCCGGCAGAGAAGGACCAAAATTGCACCAACTTATTAGTTACGGGATGTAATCTGTAAGTTAATAAAGTTACAGGACCAATATCGGGTATAGCTATAAGTTATGGGACTAAATCAACAAATTTCTCTATAAATATATATTGAAAACTAGATGAGGTTTACAGTTAAAGGAAATTACCTTTTGAAAAAGTAATTTCCTAAAATAGAATCATATGTTTACTTTTGTACTAAATTTGATTCAACATTACTCTTCTACACTTAATTCAATTGATTGATTTAATTAATTACTTCCTGCTTCTCTTGTATAACCAAGGTCAACCGTTAGTGGAGGATTAGTTTAGTGGTCGCGGAACCTCAACGACAAAATTCTGACAAACGACGAAAACAATTTAGGGGAAAAAATTCAACCGCCGGTGATCCAGCTTCATGGGGGAGGCAATGCTCCATCCCTATTAGTCTATTTTTGATCAATCACAAAAAAGTCACATTTATGTCATTTTGAATTAGTAGTCGTATTTTAGGGAAATGACGGCGTTTTGTCCTATTTGGATAAGATTGTTTTCAAATAAGATATCACGATCATATTAAAACGTGGTGGTTATCAATTTTATGCGATTAAATTTAAATTGATAGAATGAGAATAAAATAAGAACGATTTAGAATCAGATGAACATAAATTGAATTGAGATGAGACTCAAACTTACGACCTTCTATTTGGGAGATCAACATTGATATCATTCGATACTTGAAAGTTGAAATAAGAATGAAAGGGATTGATAAAGAATATTTATTCGACTCTGATATCATTTATACTGCGTAATTTTTAAAATTTACTTTTTATACATGTGTCATTATATGATACCTCTAGTGCCATTATATGATACCTATGTATTTCATTATTAGCTTAAATTCATTTGATTTGTCTTCCTCAACGATCTATTCTACTTTTCACAATTTTCACATACCTGTCTAATTTAGTATTTCCCATTTTCACACTTAGCTACCCTGGTACTCCATATTTGTTTTTGAGAGGGGGTACTCGTATTATTCCCTCCGTTCCGTTGAAAGGTTCCTAAGAGTAAATGACACGATTTTTAGGCAAGTGATTAAATAAAGTCAATTGGGTAATTAAAAAAAGGAAAGATGAAATTTAGAAAATGTAAACATACAAAGTGAAGGTAATTAAAGGAAATAAGTTGAGGGATGAGAAATTGTGAGACTTGATACATAATGAGTGAGAAGGAGAAATTTAAGTAAAAATACAATTAAAGATAGTAAATTATATCCTAAAATAAAACGAAAACCTTTAAATAAGACATCCAAATAAAGAAACTGCAAACCTTTCAACGGGATGGGAAGAGTATTTGCCCACATGCTTTTAAAACTTTTTTATGGCATCTAGGTATAAACAGATACAATTCTTCTTTTCTTATTTTGTGGTAGTTCTTTTTTAGCTTTTTCCCCGATCGTTTGCAAATTCTAGTTTTTTCACTAATATATTTACATCTTTCAAATTTTATGTTTGTTTTTCAATTTTCAAAGGAGGTTTGTTGGCGCAGTTCGATCGTCTCTCGCTTCTCTCTAGATCTTCGGCCGCTTGGAGTTTTTTTCCGTCTTCGATTTTAATCGAAGGACGGCTGTTGTTGTTTGTGCTTCATACTCGAAGGGCGGTTTCGCTATCATGGCTCGAGGAGATCGGCGTTGTGGTCAAGATTCGAGGATGATGTATTGCTGTCGTCGTTGGAGAAGATCGGCGCCGCCTATCCGTTTACTCTGGTTGCATGAAGCAGAGATGAGTTTTGGTTATGCAGGGACGGAGGATTGATGCATGGCCTTTGGCAGACAAAGGTCACAGAGTATCAATTAGCATGGTACCGGTGGTAAGACCTCCTCCTGAACCACCACCATGGGATGTACGAGGTGCTAGAGTTCGTGAACGCTTTTCTTGTAGTTTTTATCTGGTTGTTATTTGTTTTCTTGTGTCCACTTTTGTTGGTTTTGACAGTTTGTTTGAGTTTGTTGCCTCTCTTTATGTCATTGGGTATGGTTGGATCTATGGGAATAGGTTTGGCTGTGTCAAGCCCACTACATGGTTAACGATTCGTGTTGCTCTCTCAGGGGTGACCGTCTCAAAGTCTCACCATAGGGTTACAGTCGTAGTTGTTGAAGTTTCAGTTGGTGTCAATTTTATTTTCCTTTTGCTTAATGTAATGATCATGATTTTTTTGATATGAATAGAGGCCCGTTTGATGATAAAAAAAAGAAGGTTTGTTGGCCCGACTAAGAAGCTGTTCTCTTCGTCTGATCTGAATGTTTCTGATCTGAATTTATTAAGTTCTGATCTGATCTGATCTGAATTTTTCTGATCTGATCTGAATCTTTCTGATCTGGTCTGATCTGAATCTTTCTGATCTGAATCCTTCTGATCTGATATGAATCTTTCTGATCTGATCTGAATATTTCTTTAATTATAATTATAATTATTATAATTATAATTGTAATTATAAATATAATTTATATATAATTTATAATTATAGTCATAATTCTAAAAATATTTAATTATAATCATAATCATAATTATAATTATAATTAAAGTTATGAAAAATTATACCTACTACACTGATTATAATTATAACTATAATTATAATTGTAATTATATTTTTACTTATAATTATTTCTATAATTATAATTGCAATTATAATTATAATTGCTCTGTATAATAATAAAAATAAGTAGTAATAATAATAATAATAATAATCATATTCATAATAATAATAACAATAATAATAATAATAATAATCAGCTCAATAATAATCATAATATTAATAATCATAATAATAATAATTGTTATTATTATTATTATTATTATTATTATTATTATTATTATTATTATTATTATTATTATTATTATTTTATAATAATATAAGTGATAAATCATGTTTGAAATTTTCTGATCTGATCTGAATGCTTCTGATCTGATTTGAATCTTTCTGATCTGGTCTGAATGATTCTGATCTGATCTGATCTGAATTTTTTTTGATCTGATCTGATCTTATCTGAATAAAATAAGAATAAGCAATAAGTAATAAGAATAAAACGAACAGAACAACACCTAAATTGATAAACATTTAGAATAGATGCACTTATACAATACTCCACATGTCCCGTTTAAATGCTGAAATTTATCACTTTTACAATAGATGTACATCACTTAAGCATGACAAATCATACTCCTCCGTCCCATAAAATAGTTCCCGCATTGACTTGAATCGGAGTTTAAGAAAGTGGAAATAAAGTGGAAATGTATGGTTGTGGTTGTGTAAGAAAAATGTAAATGAACGTGAGCCACACAAAACTTTCCAAAAGGAAAAATGTGAACTATTTTTTAGGACAGCCCAAAAAGAAAACTGAGAACTATTTTGCGGGATGGAGGGAGTCCTAAATTTACAAATCACTAATCAGCAAAATACTTCCCAATGTTCAAAATTGTTCACAGAAGTAATTATTTCTGGTTTAAAAAGAAGTACACGCGAGACTGCGAGAGTAATGACTAAATAAACGGATCACTCCCATGGGTCGGTTTTTTAGCCCACCGGTGTAGAATACGGAGTACAAATTTGGAGAGCATTAGGTTTTAGAGGGGTTTATGCATGCGGCTTCAGAGTCTGCTACTGACGCCACCATTGTCACCGGTTCATTCTCCATACCTGACGTTTCAGTATGTGGAGAAATTTATCAAAGCCGTCTTCCTTACTCAGGAAGTACAGATTAATTTCAGAGTCCCATTCTTTTCCTCTGTACACTTTTATTGGAAACAATCAATCCCCTCAATTGTCTGAGGAGATCAGAGGTGGAAGGAATGTTGAACGCACTATTCCCACCTACAAAGATCACAGTTCTACTCAAGCTTCAATCTTTCCTCGAGCTGGTGAAAAACTCAGCGGCGATTTTTGTTTTTGGATCAGCTTTGCCAGGGGCTATGCTACTGCAGCTGAGGCTTTAGTTTCTTCTTCAGAGGAAGATGTTGACGAGATTCATGAGCTAACTGGGGATGCTGGCATAAGTAATAAAGATATGATGATGACGAGAAAGCAGCACAAACAGCCGAAGACGATTGGGGGAATGGGGGTTTGGAAGTATAATGTGCTGAAGAAGAGACAAATGAAGATAGAGACGGAGGCATGGGAAGAGGCAGCTAAGGAATATCAGGAGCTTTTGACGGATATGTGCAACCACAGTCTTGCTCCTAATCTGCCTTATGTGAAGTCTCTGTTTCTTGGCTGGTTTGAGCCTCTGAAGGATGCAATAGCTGCAGAACAGCAGGCTTGTGCAGAAGGGAAGACCAGATTAGGCCATGCTCCATATTTCTCTCTTCTCCCTGCTGAAATGATGGCAGTCATTACAATGCACAAGTTGATGGGGCTGTTGATGGTTGGTAATGGGCATGGAAGTACTTCGATCGTGCAGGCTAGTTGCCATATTGGGGAAGCCATTGAGAACGAGGTAAGTGCCAATTTCACTTGGATATAGCCGTGTGCCAAGGATATTATCTTTAGGGACGCTAATGTTTAATTTTGTATTTACTCAGTTATTAGTGAGTACGAATTATGGAGCAGATATCATAGCCTCAATGACCAAGGCTATGTAACCAATTTTTGTTACATTATAGTGTGACACAGATGTATTGGATAATGAAATGCTAGACACCTTTTCACCCTCTAATGGAAACATGCCACATAGGAGTGTACAAAAAAAAAGCACCTGAAAATGCACAAATAACTTTGTTGATCTTCAGTTGTGTTGGAGCATGGTTCAAATTGCTTTAGAATGCCTTTTCAAGGCTTCTTTGTAGGTACATCCATGAAATGAAGTGATTTAAAGTTATCCACTTTTTTGCAAACAAGTTTCTTCATGAGTGTGTAGGAGTGTAGCAACCACATAATAATTAATGCTTTATTGGAAATGCTATAGTCACACAAAATGCATTATACATTGGGCAATATGATAAGAACAATAACAAATAGAACTACTATAAAACACTACAAATTATTATAGGCGCCCTTTATATAACATGCATCGTTATCGCATTTCACAAATTTCATCGCTGGTCAACTCATTGTTTTGGAGATTGCTACACGTATCTGTCCGTGCATAAAAGTTGGGTGACGTAAAAAGATGATATGAAGCAGAATCTAGGCTTGGAAGAAGAGGGGCAGAAGCCCCCGTGGGTTTACTGAAGGCGGGACGGGCTTGAGCCCACCTTCGTGGGCTCTGGGCTGGTTGTGGGCTGTTTAATTAATATTTGTTCTTTTTAATTTTCCTGATTTGTTTCCTATTTGGAGTTAATCATGATTTCTAATATTTGTTTCCTATTAGGAGTTAATTAGGATTCCAATTATTTGTTTCCTATTTGAAGTTGATTAGGATCTTTATTATTTTGTTTCCTAGTTGGAGTTGATTAGGATTTCTAGGATTTTGTCTCCTAGTTTGAGAATTAGTAGATGGGTATTTAAACCCCTTGTTAGGATTCATTCTGGCTCATCTTGGAATAAAAGTTGGTTTAGCCTTTTGGCTCTGGGCAACGGTATTTGTTTATCGTTGATTATCTAGGCAACGGTTCACCCCGTTGATTTTATTTTTCTGTTCTTATCAAAAGAAACCTCCAATTTCCAATGACTCATCACTAATCTTACTAATGATCATTGCATAATAATCATCAATATGAATTGTTTAAGTGTAAATGTGAACTGGAGCCTAATGTGTGCTGAGGTCAATCTAAATTCGGGAATAAGAAACTTCTGTTTGTCATTTATTCGGTGCATCATTGGATTGTGAACAACATAATCTCTGATTTCGGCTTCTGAGTCAGAATAGGACCAGTACCATCTGGTTATTTATTCAAAACAAAACAGTTGGTAGGTTCTGTCACCTAACATGGGAATAGTACCCAGCCTTTATGCCAGCTGGTTCCTTCGAACCTAGGACCGGCCAATCCCCTCAATTTTACTTCAAACTCCAATTTAGAACTGATTGAGAATTAGTTCGGTAGTACATCTGGACTGATATGGCAATACCGTAACCATATGAATTCCAATTAAACCTTTAGGGACCGTGATCTGAGTGCTCCATAAATGGGCCATATTCACCACTAGCTTCAAATGTAATGTGGTATCTATCATTAGTTTTATTCGTCAGATCAAACTATTGAAACTTTGATGTATGAGTATATCTTTCACTATTTGTTAAAGAGTTAATTCATATAGTCAACACATCTGTATGCAATGCACCAGACACAAAAATGAATGATTAAACTTTAATTGATTATTTTACCTTTGTACATTGTGAGATAAATTATCACTAAATATTCATGGTAGGAAATGTATTTTTTGTAGAGCTTATGATACTTGAATATGGATTCAACCTACAAATGAATGTGACTATTGAAAATGATAATTTATAATTTACATATTAAAACAAATGAATTTCGAAACAGAAAAAGGCAGCCTTTCAGCCAAAGAAAGTAAAATATGGATTCTTGCAAATGAAGAGGAAACTAACACGATACTATATTAATTGGATACATAAAGCCTTAGCCAGCTTGGGATTAACCACACCGGGTTATAAGTTTGCGTAAAAAGAGAAATACAAAGATCGATGTTTCTTGCTTATGCCATACTTAGCCCTTCCACAGGACATTGAAATACAAAAACATTAAACATAGCTACCTTTCCCCCCTGCTTCTCGAGCTGCTAGTCAGAGACCGTTTGAGCTTCCGGTCTAATTATTTCAGCACTTTTTAATGTAGTTCTTTTTTTTTGCAAATTACCCCACTTGTTCTCAATTAACTACCCAGTGGGAAAAAGTATGGGCTGTAAAGTGATAGATAATTTGGTAACATAGGAGAATAACATATTTACTGTTTAACTCTGTTGGTCAGCTAAATGGGCAATTATTTTTGAACAAAAAGCATTCAGCTCATGGAAACTTATTAAAGAACAGATGGAATCTCAAGGCTTTGCTTGTTTATTTGCTATGCTTGTCTTTCATGTCAGGTTAGGATAAATAAGTTTTTGGAGAAAACAAAGAAAAAAGGCGCAACAAGTCCTGATTCTGAAGAGCTACCCGAAGCTCAGATGAAGGAAAAAGGGAAACTGAGAAAAAAAGTCACTACTTTGATTAAACAACAAAAGATGCAACAGGTTAAAATGATAGTGAAGCAGCAGGATGATGGGCAGCCATGGGGAAAGGGAAATCAAGTCAAGGTTGGTGGTTGACATGCGATATGAGTATCATCGAGTTGATTTTTTGTCTCTTTCTTTTGGGTTTTATGATTATTTATGCATGGATGGTGATTCATTCAAATTATTCACTTCCAGGTCGGCAGCCATTTGATGAAAGTATTAATGGACACAGCCTATATACAGGTGCCTATGAATGAATCCGATGGTGTGCCTGACATTCGGCCTGCATTTGTTCATACAGTCAGAACTATGGAAGCACCGTAAGTACACTAAAACCCACGCTCCCCTCTTCAACCCCTAACCTCCAAAGAATAAAAACAACTCATTAACATTCACACAAAACGGTACAGTTAATACTACCGCGTCCTGAA